GATCATTTGGGTAGACGTGAATAAATGTAGGACTAAAAAAGAAATCCTGGGCCTCCCCGGTGGCGCAGCAGTTGAGCGCAGGATTGCGAATCTGCCCACAGTCTCTGCAGCGCCAGTTGGATCCCCGGCTGCTCCCCGGCCACTGGAGGAGGGTCCCGCATGGCGCGCAGACCTCTCCTGCCGCCCGCTGCTCCCCTCAGCAGTGTACTTCGGTCCTTCTGCCTGCTCTGCTCCCCGCTCTGGCTCTGGTGAATTCTCTCACCCTCCTGTGCTTCTGACTGTACCCAGTGCATGTATAAATAAATAAATAAATAAACAAATAAACAAACAAATAAATAAATAAATCTTTAAAAAAAAAACAAAGAATTCCTGTTCAGTTTACAAAATTCTTATATCTTGGAATAGACTGTTGCATAATTTCTCGATTCCTTAATTTGTACCATACATATACTACCATTTTGCATTCTTAATTATTATCTTTGGTAAGAATAAATGGTAACGGAATGAACAAATCAGTTAAGGCTGTTAGCAGACCTGGGTGTACATGAGAAGCTTAGAGACCAGTGACTCAGAGAAGCAGGTGGTTGAGAACAGGGAGTAAGTTAATCAGCTGCCAAAAGCCTGCACATTAGAGGTGTCTCTCCAGAGTTGAACTTCAAAGCAGAACCCCTGAGGTATGATGGACCTTCAGGATATTTTCTATGTAGGCAGACACAACCAAAAGGCTCCCTTTTCCTGGACAAATTTTGAGAGAAGGCAAGCTGTTGATATCCAGGAAAACCTGTCTGCCCCTTCCTGTTTCCTTCCTTAGCTCCAGTTTTGATGGAAACCATCACTCTTGATGGTGCTCCTGCTGGCTCACCTATGGTCCCAAGCCCCCACCGTCTCACGGATATAATGGAAGAGGCCAAGGGAACATAAAATCTTCCTCCCTTCCTGGTGAGGAGGGGCATGTGGGAGGTGGGTTAAAAAAAAAAGAGATGATCCTGGACCAAGACTAGCATAAGAGGGAGCCTTGGAAAGAGCTCCACCTCACCCCTCACTGCTATGACGTTCTCCCCACTCCAGAATGTATGAGGAACTGGGGATACAGTCCCTTGCAGTCCCCTGCAGGAACTGTCCCTACCTCGTGGAGGTGAAGTAAGCTTGAGTCTCAGATTGACCTAATCTAATGACAATGCCACATGATTGTTTAAAAAATGCTCATTAAACACCTCATCCAGTGCCTGGCTCATAGCAGACAATCCTTTCTTCCTTTCTTCCTCTACCCAGCTTGAAACTTAATAGCCTATGTAGAAACTTTGAAAAACAATGAACAGATGGTCAGCTGCAGATTCCTTGTACATGTAATCAGCACTCCAATCCTTTCCTTATCATCTAGTACTCCCCCTTTCTTCTACCACAAGTTTCCAATTGATGATGATTTAATTTCTCCTCCAAAGTTGTCCTTGATGTTCTTTTTAACCTAATTCCACCCACATACCATATGCTGGAGGGTGGTGGTATAGAGGAGAGATGCTGAGATTTGTTCTGCATCCTGCACCTGCCCGGGGCTGGACCTGTCTATATATAGATAGAAATGAGCAGCAGGAATCTGTAAAATGTCAAGCTGAGGGAATAGGCAGGTCCCTTTGCTCTGTTTGGGAGTGTGTAGAGTGGTGTCAGTAGACTGGCAGGACAGTGCTCTCCAACCCCCACACACAGCTACAGTGACTCCATTCTACTCTTTGAATCTATGTTCATTCTGAGTTGCCTCTGATTCTAAGGACTGGGGTTTTACAGTTGCCTTTATGATTGAGTGTGTAGGCTCCAGAGTCCAACTGACTTGGTTCAAAGCCACCTCCACCACATTCAAGCTGTGTTACCTGTAGCAAGTTCATCATCAGTGGAGATGCCTATATGTCATAATCTTTAATTTTGACTTTTAGTGGCAAACTTCATCTAGTACACACACGTTAATTTTTAGTGATGCACCCCTGAAACTCATGTAGTGTTAAAATGCAGTGTTACTTCAATAAGAAAATAAATAAAATAGTATCAATAAAACCTATGTCTTGTAATCATGCTCAGATCACTAAATGGGAACTTTATTCTTCTGTTGCATCCATTAAAAGTTTTGGAGTTGTCTCTGATTTTCCTCTTTCTCTCCTCCAATTTAGCTATCAACATATCCTGTTGACTGTCTTCTATCTACATACATTAAGTATTCAAATCCAATCACATCCCTCCTTTCTATTCCCAATGCATATTTCCTGAGTCCTGCCCTAATTATTCAGCATCATATCTATGTGTTTTCCCCCTTCTCTGGAGTTATTTTGTCGTGGATTTCTTTCCATTTAATGTAATGTGTATGTATGTATGTATGTATGTATGTATGTATCTATTTTCTGTCTCCCCCACTAGACAATAAACTCCAAGATGAAAGGAATTCTGTATGTTTTGTTCATTGCTATATCCTCATCAGTCAGCACATCATCTGGCAGTGTTGTTCTTGTGAGGATCCATGTTGCATTTAGTCCTTTGATTAAATCAGAAACTGTATGTAAATCACCTGGCAAAGTACCTCTGTGTCTCTTTTTGTTCTGCATTTTGAATCATAGGGAGCTTTTCTTTGATACAATCAGGCAGGGACACAGACTAACTTCAAATTCTAGGACACTGCTCCATGAGAATTTCCCTAAGGACAAGTTGCTAAATCACTTTTAGAAGGAAAAAAAAAATATCAAACTTAATATGCCAAAAGCAATGAAGAAAGCTTGCATTGAAAGCTGTGATGCTGGCGGATGTTACTTTTTGATATCAGTGTCTCTGAATACCTGGTCGCCAAATACCAGCATCAGAATCACCTGCGATGTGAAAGAACAGATGATGTCTATGAACTGCTTTAAAGCCATGTTTTGCACATTGTTATTGTTAGAAATTTGCATCAACAGCAGCATCCCATGTCACCAACTGTCAGAGTGCACTGAGTATCCAGTAAGAAAGCCAGGAGGTCAGGTGCTGAACCAAGAAAAATCACACCATCCTTGATTGAACATAACAGCACTGGATCAATCAGAATGAAAGCACAAAACTTACACATGAATGTGAAGACAGGTATTTTATACCCTGAGTAGATTAAGAGGATTGGATGAGTAAGTAAAATTATAGTTCATTATGCAAAGAAAAAGACAATAAGCCTCTATTTAGTACTGTCAGAACTGTCTAATGCAGGAGAAGCAGAGGGCCATGATGGAAGTTCAGAAACTATTTTTGAAAAATTCGTATGATTATGCACCTATTTTTTTCATGAATTTATAATGTCCACATGGAAAATCTTCTATTTCAAAGAAGAATGTAGAGCAGTAGAGGGTTAACTGTATAAGTGTTCCAAATGATCAGAATCTTCATTTAATACACCTAACATATTTCGATATTGACTGTTGTTACACCTGAAACTGAACATGATAGACATGTATAATTCATTTTAGTGGTAGAAAAAGAGAATTAACATTATTAACTTCCATTTTTTTTTCCTCAGACAGTGTGCTGGAAAACTTTTCATTGAAATATAGGAAAAGAAAAGTATTGTCAGTATGAAAATTGGCAATTTTATTAGAACTTACAGGAATTTCTAGGTGAATAGAGCCCTTGCCAGAATCATAAAATCCTAGGCCCAAAACCTAGGATTTTAGTCAAAAAACTTGTAGTCAAAACCACTGTGGAGTCTGTCACTTGATGATGAAATGAATTAAAATTTGACTCTGAAAAGCATCAAGTTATATCTCACCAAACACAAAACTCCACTCAAGATGGATTAAAGCTATGAACGTAAGAACTAAAATCATAAATATGTAGAAGAAAACAGAGGCAAAACACTCTACGTTATTGGTTTCAGGATATCTTTGGGGACTTGGCTCCAACAGCAAGGGACACAAAAGTAAAAACAAACAAATGAGACCTCATCGAACTATAAAGCTTCTGCACAGCAATAGAAACTTTCCTTAAAAAATAGACGTCTTACTGAATAGAGAAAATATTTGCACATTGTGCGTTCAACACAGGACTGATAGCTAAGATTTACAAAGAATTCATACAATTCAACAAAAAGAAAACCAATCAAAATATGAGCAAAAGAACTAAACAGACACTTCTCCAAAGAAGACACACAGGTGTCCAACCCACACATGAAAAACAAGGCTTATCATCACTTACCATCAGGGCAGTGGGATATCACCTCACACCTGTGAGAATGGCCCATATCAAAGAGACCACTGACAACAAGTGTTGGCGAGAATGTGGAGACATCGTAATCCTCACACATGTTGGTGGAATCTAGATGGGTGCACCCCCTATGGAAACTGTCTGGAAGTTTCTTAAAAGATTAAAAATAGAACTACCATAGAGCTGCCAATTCTACCCCTAGGTGCTGGAGGGGTTTATGATAAGCAAAATAAGTCAGAATGAGAAAGACAAATACTGAATGATTTCACTCATATGTGAAATGTAGAGAAACCAAAGGAACAGACAAAATTTAACCAGAACAAACCCTAGAAATATGATTGCAGTATTGAGGCTATGGGGTGGTGGCAGCTACTATCGGCTCTCATTTTATGTGGTGAGAGTAGTGGAAGTCAAAGGGGAAGGGAGCTCAGTGGACTGTGGTGGAAGGTTCTGGGTACTCTGGTGGTGGGTCTGGTGTGGTAACACATCTGAAGAAGTGTCAGCTTATACCCCAAAATATTATACTATATTGTACACCAACATTACCTCAATAGAAATAATACAATTTAAAATAAATAAATGAATGAGTTATTTTCCATAAAAGAAGTCTGCTAATCTCTAAGAAGTAAAAGATTGAATGACTTTTATGTTTTTACTAAATATATTTTGCCAGAGTGATTTTTTTATAGCCCTCCCTACTCCCCTATATCAAGATAATTTTGTTACATGATTCCAGAATGGACTTTAGACCATATACTAAAAACCTTATTATTTCAAATTCATAAACTACAGCTCACCATTTCTTCTTTTCATCATTATTTCAAAGTCGGCTGTACCAGATAGTGGCAGATATATTTCTTATTTTGTAATAGTGCTTGGGAGCTTCCATCCGATTCCCTAGGCAATTTTGGAACCCTGAAAACAGATCTTGATAATTTGGTCTGACTGGAATAGACATCTGGATGGAGTCTTGGCAGCTGAACAGAAGAATGAATGACAGTCTTGCATGAATTTTTTTTCTTTATTCCTATTTGATTAAAAAAAAATAGTACAACTCCTAAATAAGAGCATCTTTAATATTCCTCTCAGGGAGAAACTAAGGAACAATTCTAGACTTGAAAAGGAGGATCTGAAAAGGTGGAAGGGAGGGCATATCTTAAAGCTGCATTTAAATAGATGTCCCTATCTCTTTCTTAGGATATATGTAACCAGACAGACAAAAGACCAAAAACCTTCTCAAGAAGCTTCTCAAAAATCTTCTCAAAAGGGCCTCCACAGTGGAGCAGTGGTTGAGCGCTGGTTGAGAAGCTGCCCGCAGCCTCTGCAGTGCCGGTTCAAACCCCAGCCACCAGGCAAGGGTCCCACATGGCGCGCAGACCTCTCCTGCCGCCCGCTGCTCCCCTCAGCAGTGTACTTCGGTCCTTCTGCCTGCTCTGCTCCCCGCTCTGGCTCTGGTGAATCCTCTCACCCTCCCGTGCTTCTGACTGTACCCAGTGCTTGTATAAATAAATAAATAAATCTTTTTAAAAAAAAAAGCTTCTCAAAAAAATGCCATTAATTACATTTTATATAAGATTGGGAAAATATCACCAGTCTATCCATATCAAAGAAACCAGATCACCAAGAGGGTAGGGAGTGACATGTGGAGATTTTTGGGGTAGAATTTTATAAGTTACCATTTGTTGTTGCCATTGTTGGAAATTATTGAAACAAATCAAAACAAAGCATTGCTACATGGCTGACTTAGTAAATGTGAACTGACATGCTGATGGTTGGTGCTTTCTGGGAGAACCAGGTTCTCTCATTGGTCAGAGGAAGCTGGGCATGGTGTTCAGAATGGAGACAAGAGTATGGCTTACCTCTGTGTAGATTGAAGAACTATAGACCAAGAAAGATGCCCAGTCTTTGATTTCCTTCCAAATGTGGTACATAGGTCATGTTTCCATAGTGTTTCATATGACATTGTTTCATCAGATTTGTAAGTGTCCTGCTAGTGTAGGACCCTGAAAATTGTTGATAAGACTCCCCTTTAGGAATGCTCAAAAGAGCAATTGTTCTATCTGTTCCCTTGGTAACAGCACTTCTGGTGGGATGGTCACATGAAAAAGATTAACTGGGCAGTGTAATCTTTTGATTCACTCCTCAACAACTCTGGTTCCAGAGAAAATTAAATTTGTTAATCACAAAAGTCTTCCTATATAATATAGTTTTCTTTTCAAACAAATTTGTAAAAAATATATGTTGTAAGAATGTGTTTTATAGTATTTACTGTTCAAATTTGATTGCAACAAGGTCTGTCCACCGATGTCTGACATGTGTGAACTGCAGTTTCCACGGCCTCTGTGATTGTGGTCTGGAACCTGGGAATGGGCACATATGTCACATCTGAAAACCTGAGATTGTTGAATGTCAGAATACATGGAAGTACCTATATTGTTACAGAGCTATGAATCACACAGTTTACATATGTCAGTGGGTTGATACTCTAATAACATTTTAGGATTCAGCCTTCTATAAATAAAAAATGAGAAATTGGATGTGGTATCTGTGATTTCCATTACTTTCTTCATTGTTAGAATTTTATGATTTATAGAAGTATACAAAATAAGAGGAAATTTAGTTCTTGCCTCAGTTCTGCTTGATGGTTTTGGTGGACCTACCTAATAAGTAGATCCACTTTTTGGTGGACCTACCTAATAAGTAGATCCACAAAAAGAGCCAATGTGGACATCCTAATGAAGCAATAGGTGAAATGATTCAGACCCCTGAAGTAATCTGTTTATAACTCAAGCTTATCCCCAACTAAAGTACAGATTCAAAGTCAGTTTAATGTATTTTATATTTGTGAGTGATATATTTTAGTGCGAATTTTATTTTTCAGTACTATTAGATAATTTTGTCTTACTGAGTAAGATGACATTTATTAAAAGAGAAATAAATAAAAAAGATTTTTTTTTTGTTTCTCACCATATTTTGACCCTGTAGTACTGTTTTTATATTTGGGAAAATAAGATTTTCTCTTCATCAAACTGTTGAAGATATGTGTCAGCAAGAGAGAATTCTATGAACCATGAAGAAAGATGTCAAAATTCACACCATTGCCTAATTAAGCATTTTCTTCAAACATATTCCCCAATGCTCTACAGTGTTTGTAAATTGTCTGTTACTTAGTAATAGAATGACATAATGAAATTAACTCTTTAACATAATCATGATAGATAAATAAGTACTATGACAATATAATTATGAAATGTCATTATTTTGGTCTCTCAATTGTCATGTTCTTTATTGTGACAGTAACTGCTACAGAATGGAAATATACCCTATAAGGGCACTTGATAAAAGCCATGAGGAAGAAAGAGACAGTTTTATTTTTAGACTATATAAATGAAGTAATAAAAGTAAACTATATTTTATATGCCATAGGCTAGCTTATAATTTAGAGAAATCAAAATTTGAAGTATTCTGTTTAATATGAGAAATAATTTTATTATTCTAAAGTATCTGCATTTTTTGGTATTATCTTCTTTTGTGTTTGATATTTTCAAGGCCAATCAGACCTGTGGACATGGATCTTAGAACTCAGTATAGTATGTAGTTTGACAGATAGAAAATACACTGCAGTGTACTTTAACAGTTGCTATAGTATCCATCATAAAAAAATAGCAATTTCTTGGAATTAATTATCCTTTATATGAATAATCACTACACTGAAAAAACTATTAGGTTTATGTTAGGAAAACAATAGATACTTAAAAGCAAGTGAGTTTAAGTCCAGAAATGTAGTATGAGGACCCTAGGCTAAAGGAAACTCAGGAAGAAAGGACAGAAAGAGAGGGATGAGAATCAAATAAATTAACCCTCAAATGACTCCATTTACATAAAGGGAAATTTATGGAAATCTTCAAGAGCACATAGCTGCTTTCTAAGTTGTGAAGATACTCAAACCTGACACACTCCTATAACTCCTTCACTTGAAGCTCGTGAAAAGAATGTCTAATATAGTAGAGAAAGGCAATGAGCTAGCTGTAATTATCTTTCAAATCAGAATAGATCTGCTTTTGTAAGCTTGTAATTGACCTTTTTAATGTTCTTTTACAAGAGAAGCTTCATGAATTTCTTGTTTTCCTTAGAAAATTTAGCCTTTCAATTTGTGTTGCTGTTTAATTACTGTATATTTGTTATAATTTCTATAGTAAATAAATATGTGCAATCACATAATTAAATTAGAATCAGTAATTATGATGTATAATTGTGATATAAAATGTTCTACTTAGCTTTGTCAAATGAAATGTCCTAAGCATACACATCACATTCAAATCTCAGTGGATAACTTTCCTAATTTGTTCCTTTAAAAAACCATTGAGTGATTACTGTACTTTTTGTTTAAAATAATTACCTTTTATGTAATTTGTAAACTGAATTACATGTGTTCTCATTAGCTCCTTGTGGAGTATTATACGTTTAATACTTGCTTTTGGCCATTTGTAGAATAGAATTGTTGAGAGAATATAGTGCTACAGGGGACTGTTTAGCTGCATGACAACCAGAGGTAGACTGACCCAGGAGACTAATAAAGGCAAAGCAAAAGTGTGCAGACAACCTCCGAGACCTGGACAGTGGCCCTCCCCATGTCTTAGCATAGCTATAAAAGTGGCAGAATTTTTGTTTTTCCAATCTAATGTCCTCCCGTTACCACTTCTCATATTGGATGGTATGGGGGGTGGAGGATTGTGCAGACATCTGGCTAAGGCATAATTGAGTTAGGAGCCCCTTGGGTTGAGTTTGAGTCATGCATTTGATCTGGTTTTCCTTCATTTCTAAATATAGCTAAATGATGCTTGTGCTGACACAGCGTGGCTTCCTGCAACACTGCTGTCCACTGTGTCCAATGACCAGGCACAGTGACACAAAGGCATTGGGTGACCTGAAAAGATGTTGTGAAATGTTTCAATGATACATGAGAAATTACAACCTGATTTGGGTGTAATTGATGAGTCCCTTCTTTTGTCTTCTTTCAAGTTCTAAGGAATTAAGAGAAATTTCAGATTGAAAGAAAAATGTAAATATGATATAAAATGATGAAGATTAGTGGTAGAATCAATAGAAATTATGCTAACATTGAGTATATAATCATAACTATAATTTTTCAGAGAATGGCAAAAGCAATAATGAAGAGTAATCACAAACTTCTAACAGAAGTGAGAAATAAGTTCCTGAATTGAATTATATGAGTGAATGACATGAACATGGTGGGGACATAATAAGCTTTTTTGTGATTTAATAATGCAAAATACTAATTTGACAAATATAATAAAATTCATGTAATACCTTTATATTGAAGATGTCAATAACAAACTGGTTCGTGTATATCATCAATTTAAAGAAAAAATTAGTCACAAACCCAAATCTCAATATGTTCATATATAAAATGCTTTTAATCAAATTTGACAATTATCATAAAACATACACATAAAAATGATGTGAGAAGCTGAAATTAGCTTTTAATAATAATAATACACAGATTTCTATTAACTGTAGTAGAATAAAGATCAACAAACTACAGTTTTTGTATGACTCATGAACTAACAACACTTTTTTAGATGATTGGGAGGGAGATTATTTCATAGTATGTGAAAGTGATCTAGATTTTGAAATTCAGGTTTCCATACATAAGTTTTATTGAAACATAGTAATTTTCATTCATTTATGTATTGCCTATCTATGCTCTTGTGCTATGATGACAAAGTGGAGTAGATATGACAGAAATTGTATATTGCAAAGCCTAAAATATTTACAATCTGGCCATTTGTAGAAAATGTGTAGCACCTTCTGATGGTAGAGGAGTGACTAAATTCTCTCTATAATAAATATAATATCTTTATTGTATAAACAGGTGATCAAAAAGTATGCAGCAAAAAATATGTAAGGAAAAATAGCTAATTTTTAAGAGTACTTGTTATCCTTCTGGGTTCTATGATATTTGTGCTATTTACAATTTCAAACTTTTAGCTTGATTTTTCTCATTCTAAATATTCACTTTTGTTTCTAATTAAAATTTCATTTAAATTAAATTAATTGGCATATTGAGATGGTTTACAATTCTGTATAAACTTCACTCCTCAATAAATGTATATAATATACCACTTCACCACCAAAGACTTAGTTTTATTTTTCTCTTAAATTTGCCCTCTCAAAATATTTAAACTCCAGATTAAACACAACTAAATAATAAACTACATTTTTTTAATCAACTAGAGTTTGAAAGCAGTTCTCATGCTATGTATCTTTCCTATTTATAAACATCACACATTAAACTGAAATTAGATTTCAGAGGGCAAACAAGCATCTAAGATAAAATAAAGAAAAAAAATCTGCTAAATATTTTACCTTATTAGAACTTGACCCCCTGCCAATTTTTTTTCAAATGTTGTTCCAAAACAGTGGAACCTGCTTGTTTGAGTCTTGCAGTGGTACATTATTACTCAGGGGGATTTTTTTGTGACTAGTTTTAAAATGGAAATGCCGACAGGTTTAATTATGGTAGTGTTGCAGGGGGCATAGCCTATTAACATTATTGCATGAAAAAATATCAATCTGTTCCATGAATACATTGAACACATTTAATATTTTCATTTGCATTTGTAAAAACTCACATTTATATTTTTCATAAAAAGTAAGACTTTATCAAAAAAGACCCTCAATATCTTTCAGTTTGAAATCCCTTGTTTTACAAAATGTAATGAGAATGTAAAAGTTATGATCATTGATACAAATCAAATGGGCCTGTAATTCTTCACTATGGCTCTTCTGAGTATCATACTAGACCTGTTTTTCTGAGTGGTAAATGTTATTATAATGAGCTAATCGTTCAACTATTAGGCATTTAAAAGAAATATGGGGCCTCCCTGGTGGCTCAAGGGGTTAAGCACAGCTCTGTGAAGTTCAATCCCTGGTGGCCAGGGAGCTACACACATGGCTGAGCAGACCTCTGCTGTCTCACCCCCTGCTCCCCTCAGCAGTGTATTTCAGTTAGTCTGCCTGTTCT